GAAAAAGAACAATTTCAGGGATTCTGCAGAAGTACATCTAGTATTAGAAATGTGTTTACTGTGTAACAAAAATGACAGACTTACTGTAATGATGCATTAATTTTTCATTGTTGAATATTTTATTAAACATCATTATTTTTAAAAGAGATTCAATCCTTTACAAATTTAATATACTAGATCCCCAAGATCTTGAGTCCTTACATTGATGCAATAACTAATGATACAATGTTACAGTATTAACTAGTGAAATAAAACCTGTCTCAAAACAGTGGTGTCTCCTCTTGATCTATTATAACAAGTAATTTCTTGTATTACTAGATATCTGAACAACATTGGGTGATCGTGTGAAAGAAACTATGTAGGTTCAGTTTTCCAATACATTGCTACTTACCACATTAAGAAGGGTAGTGTAACAGCTGGAGAAGTACATATAACATGTGAAAATTATAGATACTTTCATTTATCATATATTACAACTTATCATTAAAAGTTCGAAAACTGTAACATTGGTATGTTTAGTTCAAATTTTATATTTAAAGATTTACAGTTATATAACCACACATCAAAAGTGTTGATAATTAGAGGAAAAAAACTTGCTAACTGATAGTGCAAGTATTAATCATTTAAATGACAAACATACAGGTAAAACTTGTAATGATATTCTATTCTCTCATTTTTTTATGTTAAAATGTGTTATTGTATCATTTTATAAACTAATTCATACTGCAGGCAATATTTGAGGTATATGTATCCTCATAACCTTCAGAATGAATTAGACCTGTGGTTCCCAAATGCTAGTCTGTGAATTTTAGCCAGTCTGTAAGGCAAAATTTAATAAAATAAAATTGTGTTTCAAAACACTGATACTGAAGTATATTGTTTACTATATATAATTTAAAATTACTTTAAACAGTTGATATTGTACAAAGTAGTCCGTGCATTTTTTGGGATTGAAATTAACTGGTCCTCAATTGCAAAAAAAAGAAAGAATAAAAACCACATAATTAGACATTGGTGTACAAAATACTGAGGAAATAAGGTTGATGACTATCTCTTCTTTTCATCTATTTATGGCAACACCATTATTTTGGACCCAAGGCAACTAAAGATGGCAAAAAGACACACAAGTGGTTAATACATTGGTACAAGACATACATAAGTATAAAAACCTTAAATATGCTTCTCATATAGTTGCACCGTGAGGAGATTTATTTGTTCAAAGTAAAGGCCATTACATCTTGAACCATTCTAAAAGGGAGGAAGATAGGGGATTAAGAACTATTAAGATAAGAGTTTTTTTTTAGTTTTGTTTAACATCGCTAATTATTATATTAAAGGGTGAAGGTTGGAAATCTTGTAGAAATATAAGATGGTATATTGCTACTATAAGAAAAAGTTTTGCTTTTTTATATCTCATAACATGAAAAAAAAGGGGGGCTGGATGTGAGAGTTTTACATTGTAGAATGCTAGGGTGGTTTAATTCTACTTTAAGGATATATCTAAATATTAAGGGTAACTGCCTTCCCACAACTGACTGCAGACAGCGAAAGCCAGTACGAGTTGAGACTTGTGGGTTCAAGCACTCAACTCTTAACTGATTCTCCTTAGTTGCTGGTGAATTTCGTCGGGATCTTGTCTGATATATATGCCCACCACATACCAAGAATTTCACAAGTGTTTCATTGCCGGGACTCCAGTTGTCCGTAATTACAAACAAGTAATTCACGTTAACATTATTTTTGTTTTCTAATTACAGTAAACTTCGTTTTTGACACTCGCAGAAAATATAACTTATGTTTTGTGGGCCATGCGACTTGGTGGTTATCATGGGTGTACTGAGGATTAGAGGATCTATGGTTTGTGTCTCGATGCTATAAAAACAAATGCCCTCCACAATTAGGGACCTAGGTGCACTATAAAATTGACAGCCAAATCTCGTTATTCAGTTAGATAAAGAATTGGTGGTGAATGCTATTAACTTGGCGCATTTTAACGATATTATCAGTTCAAATTAGGAATGTTTATGTGCAGATAACCTTTCTGTAGCTTTTCACGAACATTCTGATACAACGATACACTGTGGGCCAAAGGTTCATGTGGAGTAAGTAAAGATAGTAAAACAAAGGTGTCGAAAATATAAAGTTTTCTTACCAAATATTGAACAATATAGATTATTCCCCACAGATTAGTCAAGAAACCTAAGAAAGGCTGATGGTAGTCATGATTATTTACTCGGGGTGACCAATTTTATAATATGTTTCCTGTCTCCTTATTTAAAGTTATGGGTGTTTTGTACGTGTATACGATCCATGTTAGGTAGTATCAACCTGTTAACATTGTTCTAGTCCCAGGATCTCGGCCCTATTAATTTTTCAGTCAGTCCTTCGTCAATCGTCCCAATGTTGATAAGTCAAAATAATGTTACGTATCTGCTTGTTTGTTAATTTCCGGTATAAATTCTTTCCGAGAAACTTCAGCGACACAAGTCCGTTCTTGATTAAAACTAGTTTATTATTTCTCGATACAACTTTGTAATACACAGAATTTCCACAGTCACTTGAAACTTAACAATCTTTTTAACACACGCTATAAATCACAGCGATTCACACACTTTACTTACGGTGCCTACTGTTCTCTTATCTATCTCTTTCGTTAAAAATTCAGCTAAGCTTGTCAATGTGATACCCGTGGGAAGAACTAAATGATGAATAGAGAATTCTTTGTACAGAAAACAACGAAGTGTAACACGTCATTTGGTAGCTTAAAACTTTGGCTTTCTATTAGTTATAAGCAATACAGTATTAAACGCCAGAGAAAACTATTGGCATTTGTGAAAGAGAGGATATGACAAGTGGGCGTGGCAGGAGAAGTCTGAATTTCTATTGGATTGCTCTTTAGACAAATAGGATTGAAAGTTATAAACATTTTGCTTTGCCTGAGCGATTAAAACACTATAGTTAGTAATTTACGTTAAATTTCACACTTCTCGGAGGGGTGATAAATAAATTGGAGAAGAGGGGATGCCTAGAGAACAGATGTCATAATTCTCATACCAGGGAAGATTGGGAATTGTTTTATAAAATTAAGAACATAAGACTTATATAATATTAAAATTTGACTTATTAACTACGTTTTGATGTCAAGGTTATTCGTATACCAAGATAATTAAGTAGTTTAATTAAATTTGAATGTAACTCACTTAAATGCATACACATCGATCTTTGACCTGCTCGTAGATCACTTAAACCTGCCCGCAGCGAAAGAGGTAATATTGTTGCGTCAGCGAGTCACATGACCACCGTGACGCAACGTTTCTAGAACTATCATGTACTTTGGCGAATGTTCAAGTTCTTACTAGAAATAGGGTACGCTGGTATATAAAATAGGGGAATGTAATGTATAGACAGTGAGTAATTGAACTGCAGTCAGAGAGAGACGTATTGTTGTAGTTAACGTTCGTTCGTT